ATTTATTATTAAACTTCATTAAAACAAGACGAAAAAAAAAAATGATTTGGAATTATTTTAAAACGATGTTAATTTTTTTGGTGTTTACATTCTTGAAAGTGTTATATCTGAGGTATTTCTTTAGATTATTATTATCAGCTCAACAAACAATGACTCAAGCTAAACTAAACTAAACTAAACTACCACATGTTTAGGAGTGTTTCTGTGAGGTATGTAGTGGACCTGTACTTGGGAAGAGGTAAAACTTTGGGATTAGTTATTGCCTGTTGGAGGATACATGCTGCTGGCTGGTGATAATTAAACAGGTGTTGTGGTGTAGTCATAGCCCTCCTAGCTGTTCTGGTTTCTTAGTAAGTGTGTTGTATAGTGCTTGATGGTAACATTAACTCACAGTATAAAGTTGCATTACCCAAGTAGCCAATGTAAATAAACCTAAGTGATGTGGCGTTGCTAGGTAGTACATTATTTACATATTATTTACATTTTGGGCCTCAGTGCTGTTTTCTCTTTCCTGTAAATAAATTGTAAATCGTCGAAATGTTCTTAATCATTTTGTAAGTTTATATATTTTATTTACACTCTGTTTAATTTTATTTTATATTTTGTATTTTCTTTATCTTCAATATCTGCAGAATTATTTTACTTAAACTATTTATTTTCTGTTTATGTTGTTTTCTCTAACCTACTGTGGGTCATCCGGGTCTTGTATTGGGTGTTTACAAAGTTCATTGATGTTTTTGTATGGGAGTTTTTAGAGGAAATTTGACATCTACTTCATATTTATATATATTTTAACGATACCTGATGCTCGTTCTGACACTTATAGACGGTATTGTAAGTAAATCGTCCTTTACAATACCGCGGATATGACGAAATATGTAGTTAAGTGTACAAAAAAGTCCATGCTAGTGTTCTGGATTTATACACATAGACATCAAGGGACTTTATAAACACCCCCCACACTTCGTATACCAACAGCAGAGAGGAATGAACGTCTACATAAACTCATACTAAAGTGTTTAATGATCTTAGAAACTTAATCATATCTAATATATTTCAGTTATGGTTTAGTTACACATTCTCTCACCTCTTCATTCATCTTATTCGTTCCTACTTCTTTATTACCTTTTTTATCTCTTCCCTTTGTTCCCTTTGTTATATCTTCTTCTATAATACTCGCATATATGAATAAGTAAATATCCCCACTACATATTAATAAGCTTATGACTATATTACCCACCAGGCGAGGACGTAGTTACAATTTCCTTTATGTTGTTTAGTGTGTTTAAGACAAGCCCTCAGTTTGGATCTCAATTGCATCTGCATCCCGGATAACGTGTTGAGCCGTCCATCTGTATTACAATGGGTGTTTGAAGGAGCCTTAAATATATACCTAAGAAATAACATACAAGACACGAAACCAATACTCTATCCTGATTGGTCCGTTCTCTCCGTAGTTTTTTGGGGGAGGGGGGCGGGGCCAAGTATGAGATATTGTTTTCCTAGGATGAAGGACGATTTATTATTCGAGTTTAGATTTTTGGTTTGAGAAATGTTGTCTTTATTCCTTTGACGATCTACTTTGCGGTTCTATTTGGTCGTATTTTTTATTTGTGGTTTCAGACTGTGGCTCGATATGGTCGAATTGCAGGTATCGGGAGGGGGGGGGGGTTAGAGACCTTGGTTTGTGGTTTAGAGACCTTGGTTTGATGACTCCTATTTTGGACTTGTCGCGTGTAACTTGTGTTTTAAGAGATAACTAAACTTGCACTTGTGAGTCTTGGATTGAGTGGTTCGTCTCTAGATCCGGATGTTTCGTGTGTTGCTTCAAGAAATGGATTTGTTTTTCTCAGGAATTGCTAACCTAACCTAACTGAACCTAATCTAATCTAAACCTAACCTAACTACACCCATCCCATCCCATTCCATCCCATCCCAACCCAAACTAACCCTATTTATTAGTTGAGATAAGCTAGGTAGGGGGGGGGCTAATCTTCATGTCATCTCAAGTAATTTCACCCGAGTTCTAGAATTATATTACTTAGTTCTATAAAAGTTTTCTCCGTGTATTTTCTCCCGACTCTTAGGAAAGTTGTGATTTTTACAAGTCTTTGATATTTTTCCTCATGAGAATATATCATCACTTTCTTAACTAGTTTATAAAGAATTTTTTTGTCCAATTAGAAAATATCTTGTGAGAGGTGTATTCATAATTTGTTTTTGCTTTTGTTGTTGTTTTTATTTTGTTGCTGTTTTTTTGGTAATTGTTGTTGTTTTAGTTTTTCTTTGTTGTTGTTGTTTGTCTAATGAGGATGTTGCTGGTACAGAGAGTCATCTGAAATTGGAACAGCCGTTGGTATATAAATTACACCTCTTCCCCATTTTACCCATCCCTATTACCCAACCCCATTACCCCCATCCCTATTACCCAACCCCATTACCCAACCCCATTACCCCCATCCCTATTACCCATCCCCATTTCCCAGTACCCATTTCATTGATAATATAATACAATAGAGACGTGGCAAACACACTATAATTATAAGGTTGATAGTGTGTTATAACCCCAGGGAGAGAGATTTTCCTTGTGGGAGCTGGGAAGGGTATGTGTTTTGTATGGGGGAGGGGCGGGGATTTAGATGGGCGTCTGTGTTACTATCATCCCCGTCTTCTATTGGCTCTTGTTTCATTGTTCTTTGGCTATCGTTTAATTGCACTAAGTTATCGTATACCCTCATTTGGCTATTTTTTTTTTGTTTGGCCTCCGCGTCCAGCCAGCTGTCATACCGCGCCAAAACAACCATCATATACCTCTACACCGGGCTATCTTTTTGGCTATATTTGGCTATCTTCTCGTAGAGGGAAGGGGGCGGGTGAGGGAGTGGATGCTTCACCATAAGGTATCTTGATAGCTTGATCACAGCGCTTTAGAGGGGGGGGGGAAGGTGGAAGGCCGGGATGGGGGGAGGGATGTTAGGTGGGAGGGGGAGGGTGAGGGAGAAGTTGGGAAGGGAAGATGGGAGGGTGAGTGGGTGAGGTGGAAGGGATGAGAGGGTGAAGTGAGGGGGAGGGTGAAATGAGAGGGAGGGGAAGATAAGGGAGGAAGAGAGGATTCAGTAAAAGCTCATTATCCTCAGGTTGTTTTTCCTCCTCCTCCTCCCCCTCTTCATCTCCTCCTCTTCTTCTCCTCATTCTCTTTATCCTATCTCCCTTTCTTCCTCCCTCTCATCCTCCTTCTTATCCTATCTCCCTTTTTTCCTTTTCCTCTCCCTCAACCTATCTACATTTCCTCTTCCTCTCTCTCTCTCGTTCTATCTCTCCTCTCCCTCTCTCCCTTCCCTCCTCCTCCTCCTCCCGGGTCCACTGAAGGCAGGTCAAGGTAACAAGCGCCGCCCCGGTGTAGCCGTCGAGTTGGTCATTAAATCAATACCCAAGACAAACCTTTTGAAAAATTGTCGACAACAGTTTCATTAATACGCTACAAATTGTTTCTTGACACGGTCCACATTGGTCTCTCTCTCTCTCTCTCTCTCTCTCTCACTGATGAATTGGAAAATGATACTAGGAATAGTTATTATTATTATTATTATTATTATTAGTGGTGGTTTTATTATTATTATCGAAATATCTCTAGAATTTAATGTAAGGTTATTAGACTATTGTTTAATATATGATAAGAAGTATTCATTTATTGCTCAACTTTACCCAAACACTCTGGTTATAGGATTTGCTTCTTGGTAATCCCTTGATATCGCTGGATTAGTCAGTAGAGTTCATGAATATGTAGATTTCACAGTATCCGATTATAATATGAAAATACGAATCTAGTTCCTTTTTTCTCTTTCTCTCTTACCAAGCATTTCACTGGACCCACAGACCAGGTGAGTACAGTATAGTGTTTGTGATGTTGAATGGTTGTGTGTGTGTGTGTGTGTGTAGTTGTTAGATCAAGAATCATAACAAAAAAATAATGTCTTTGTTACACTTTTCAGAAAACACAATAACAAAAACATCGATACTTTTAATAATAACAAAAATATTGATACGTTTAACAATAAGAAATACCAATAACAACAAAAATATTACACTTAACAAAAACACTCCCTAAAACTATATAACACGCAAGAAAAAAGAAAGAAATCCTAACAAAAACAACATAGTCTTGATCACTGTAGTAAGGGGTGATAAAACTTCCTCTGCCAGAAGTTGAAAACGAAGGGAAAATAAGTTTAGTTCAGTCGACAAATGGCCATGGCGGTGGAATCAAGACTCGTTCGATTTCCCATACGGACTTCACGCCATTAAAGTGATGTCGGGGATGGAAGCTTTTTTTTTTTTTTCAATGGACTTTACAACCCATTAACCAGCAAGAGGATTTGAATTCATTTAGTGTTATATTTTATTCTTAAACTGACTGACGTTAGAGAATAGGGAAAAAAATAAAGCCAAGGTTGACTTAGTTGTTAACGGATGATGCTTCGGTTGTATGTATTTGCGTGATGGTATTAATGTCTTTGTTTTTCATGTATTTAGTTTATGTTTGTCTTTGTGAGGAATTTGTTTGACCTTTTTTTAACGATAAATTGTCGATCTAACTTTTAATTGATAGCGGTTGATATTAATGAAGAAAAAGTATATTATTTTGGTTCATTTTTATAATATAGAAATATTTAAATACACCCGTAGTCTTAATTTATTTTTAAGAGCTTTATTCTTGCTCCGAAAATTGCCTCCCATCCCGCGATTATTGACCCACAAAGAGGCTCCTTATTGGCTTTTTTGACTCCACCAATGAGCAGCCACCTTCGGCATTCTTGATCAGACTAGGAACCTATAATTTGCGGGAAACAATTTGCACCCCAAACATATGTGAAACTTTTTATTTTATATTATTTTTTATTTACTAATTTATGATCTTTAGAATACCCAATCAAGGCGGGTATTGTAGCCAGGTTTTGTAAGACGTAACAAACACACTAACGTTATTTTTGTTTTTCCAGGAACCTCTCCCTTCACCCTCTACTTCAGCGTCAAGTTCTACGCTGCCGACCCCTGCAAGCTGGTGGAGGAGATAACTAGGTACGTTGTGCTGTCTATTGTTGGCGTCTTGGAGGGAGGAGTGTTGGAGGGAGGAGTGTTGGAGGGAGTAGTGTTGGAGAGATGAGTGTTGGAGGGGGCAGGGTTGGGGAGGAGTGTTGGAGGGGCAGGGTTGGGGGGAGGAGTGTTGGAGGGAGGAGTGTTGGAGTTAGTAGTGTTGGAGGGAGGAGTGTTGAATTAGGTGATGGTGAGATACTTTGGGTATTAATATTGAAAGACATGGTGTTTAAAAAATCACTATACTCAACAAAATATACACATACCACATACAATACTTACACAATACACACAATACTTACACAATACATACGTACATACACAATACACCCTACCATGTCCCTAACAATACAGTATTAATTTGTCTCAGTAGTTAGAATGTTTTTTGGGACATACTTAATACTACACTGGAAGACTCTCTTGTTGCTATGGTTACGACTGATTCTGTGACGATAACTACGATTATTATCACAGTGGAAGTAATTGACTTTATAAGAGAAAACAAAAACATTAAAGTCAATAATGAACTTAGTCTAAAATCCATCACTCATAATCGAAATTTATCACCAAAAACAGATAAAAAATGGGAAAAAATGGTAAAATATGGAATAATGATAAGGAAAAAATAATAATTCTCGGGATCTGTAAGAGGGAGGAAAGTTTGGGGTGAAGTGAGGGTGGGAAGGTGTTAAAGGCTATCTTGTTAGTGAGGGCGTTTTGCACGTAGCATTACCCAGGGATAATCGACTATAACTCCTTGGTTCATTGGCCAGTTCATCCCACCTCCCCCGTGCCAAGACATTAGGGTGTCTCACTGAATCTGCATAAGACGGAATTACACTACGAATTCCCTATAACGAACACCATTCATAACACTATCAGGTACTTCAAGAAAATTACATGTTAATATTTCCAGGTATTTAGAATAACATAATTTTTAGATATGAGGGAAATTAATATCCTGTAGTTGTAATAAGAGGTGTGTGAAGGGTAGTTGCGAGCGGTGAGCCTGAATCGACCATGAGTTTAACAGGTTTGCAGAAGTTGGTTTGTAAACCCTCGCTTATAAAGTTAGCAAGAAAAACACGGACATGAATTTGAGAACGAGAACTCTAGAATTTCTCTCTTCCAAAACTGATTTGTCGAAGTTTAAATGGAGTATAGTGTAGCATTGGTGGATGGTGGTGGTGGCGATGGTGGTGGTTGTTGATGGATGTGGTGGTTGATGGTACTTGTAGTTGATAGTGGTGGTTGTAGATGGTGGTGTGGTTGGTAGTTGTGGTGGTTATGGTGTGATGATGCTGATGATGATGATGATGATGGTGATGATGATGTGAGCTGATGTGATGGGACGAATGGATAGAATAAAGGATAATGGAATAATAAAGAGATAGGAGAAGAAGGGAAGGGTAAGAGGAAACAAGAGAAAGGTAAGAGAGGAACAGAGGAACAAGGGAAGGAAAAATAAGAAGAGGGTGGGAACGAAGGAGAACAGTGGATAAGAGAGTACTAAAAAGAAATCCTCATTAAGAAAGTATGAAAGGGTGACAAAGAGAGATTTGGAAAAGAAAGCAGTAGGAGAATGGGTGAAAGAAGAGTTCAAAGAGAAAACGAGAATGGGAAGAGAGGGGAGAGAAATAGAATAGGAAAGACGAATTTGGGAGAAGAAAGGAGAGGAGGGAGGGAAAGAGAGAGGGCGTATGAGAAGGTTGGAGTGTGAATGGGAAAAATGATGATGGAGAGAGAAGGCAATATGTCAATTATCTACACAACTCGAGTAATGGTGTGTGTGAGAAAGGTAGAGATGAGACAAAAAGGTGTGTGGGTGTGTGAGTGGTCAAGATGGATGAGGTGCCGGGCCTAGATAGCTGTCATTAATTTTATTGGTTCACTCGCTCTGTGTCCCGTCTGTTCAACCACTCGCTGATTCCTCTTGACCTCTGATGTTATTCTCTCAACCACGACACATTTTTTTTTTTGCTATTACTACTACTACTACTACTACTACTACTTTTCATCTACTACTATTACTACTACTACTACTACTACTACTATTTTCTTCTACTACTATTACTACTGCTACTGCTACTTTTTTCTGCTCACAGCCTGACACTTTATAAATTCTTCTTCTTCTTCTTCTTTTGTCTCTACGTTGCTCTTCCTTTATTTATTCCTCCAGTCAGTAATCCTTGTTGACCTCAGTAATCCGCTCAGAACTTGACACCCGTTGCATCTCTCTTATTTCTTATCTTTCTTCCTCTTCTTCACGTCTTCTTCCTCTTCAAGTCCTTCTTCTTCCTCTTCTTCTTCAACCTCCTCCTCATCTTCACTCTTATCTGTTCTGTCAGTAATCCTTATTGAGTTGTGTAATCCGCCCTGAGTTGTTTAATCCGTTTCCTCCCTTAATCCTTCTCTGCCTTTCTCATTAATCATCTTTATATTCTTCTGCTTCTTGTTTTATTCTCTTCCATCACTTGTTCTCCATTTGAAATTTCAGGTCTCTTATACATGCATACATACATACATACATACATACATACATACATACATACATACATACATACATACATACCCATTCTCTCAGCATTTCTATTCCTCTTCTGTTCCATTTCCTCCTTCTCTTTCTCCTTCTCCTATTCTTCATTTTCTTCTCTCTCCTCCTCCTCCTCCTCGTCCTCCTCCTCTTCTTCGTCCAAGATATCATTTATAGCACACACACACACACACACACACACACACACACACACACACACCATTACCCTACAGCCTCCCTACATTACTTTTAGCTGGTAATACTTGTGATGATGAACAAATTAGTGACCCCTACCTCCCTTCCCCTTCCCCTACCCCCCCTCCCTCTCTTATCCCCTTTAAATGGTCATGTATACAGTCTAGTTTAAGGTGTATTGTTCATTGTGGTAATAGAGGTGAAAGTAAAGCAGTAATTAATGATATTGTGAAAATTTGTAATATATAACAGTTGATCAAGATGAGAAGATGTTTGGTTTTGATGATTTAAGACAGAAGATAAATATATTAGTGTTAGAAGATCCTGCAGGTATAGATAAATTAATAAGTAGGTGAGGATAAAAGGTGTGAATTACGATAAAAAAAGAGATAGACAAATATGATAAATGAAAATAAATTGTAAAAGCAAAAAACCAAACCACATGATAAATTATACACTTTGGAAATTTCTAAATACGAAAACCTCCAACGTCTAAAAGAATAAATAAATATATAATTAAAAAAAAAAGTAATTCAGTACAGTAACACCTTCAATTATCGACGGTAAATCAACTTTACACCAAACAAGTACATCTCCCATCATGGTAAATGGCAGCACGGGGCCTCTGGCTGTCAATGGGAGGTGTCCTAAACTTCACAAATTATGTAATTGGTGAGTGTACAAGCCGGCCACCTTGTTGTTAGCCAGGCCAAGCCAAGCCAGGCCAGTAGACGTGCGGCGCTGACTGACTCATAGGAGAAGAGGAGCTTGGTAATACACCCCATTAATAACATGGCTTATGAGCGACTCTAAAGGCTTAGTCGTGGAACTCCCTCCTCCCGCCTCTTCTATTCTCTCCTTTTCCCTCACATCCTCCCTTTTCCTCCGTCCTTCCCCCCCTCCACTCCCTTTTCCTCTTTCCCCCTCCATTTTCCTCCCTTACTCTCCCCATCATCCCTTTTCCTCTCCCTCTCTTTCTCTCCCTCTCCCACTCTCCCCCATTACCTCCGCCCCCACCACCACCAGACACGCGCACAATAAACCTTAAGGAGAGAGAGAGAGAGAGAGAATCGTGCTGTCGACTTGAATGCCACAAAAAGTTAATTAACTCTTGTCTTGAGCTTCTAGTGGATTGGATTCTACGAAAATATGGTCATTATGGTCTTAGATTATCTCCGGGCGCTGCAGTAAAGGTTAGGAGGAGCTGCTTGGGGGTCACGAGCTAGGCTGTTGAGGGACGATTATGCTCCTCGGCTGAGATTAATGATTTGGTGAAGATCCTGGTATTGGCTCGGCTGCAGGAGGAAGATGGGGAGGAGGGGTACTTTTGGCGAGGCTAAGGAGAAGGTGGAGGAGGAAGAGGGATACTGCGAGCTCATGAGGAGGAGGAGGAGGAGGAGGTACTGTGGGCTAGGATGTAAGAGGAGGAAGAGGGTATTGTGTGTTTATGAGGAGGAGGAAGAGGAGGGATACTGTGAGCTCATGAGGAGGAGGAGGAGGAGGGGGTACTGTGGTCTTGTCCAGGGAAAGTTTTTGAGAGATCTTAGCAGTGAAACACTCAGTACGAGGTCATGGTGATTTAAAAAGGTCATGACGAGTTAAGAATGGGTCATGATGATTTAAAATAGGTCATAACGGGTTAAGAAGGGGTCATGGTGATTTTAAGCTCATGAAAGGTTAAAAGAGGTCAACCTGGTAGAACACACAAAGTACCTGAACTCCAGAGAATAGATTATAACGTTCAGACAAATCCTAAGTTATGATTTTAAGTTTTGTTCAGTTTCTTTAAGTCCAGGTCGCCAGTATTGATATCAGGGAGGGCAACAGATCACCCTCAAACACGAGACAAAATATTAAGTCCATCTGTAAAATTCGGACTCTGGTCGTAAAAGGTCGTGTCTATAACCATTTTCCTGGGGTAGGTTAATGTATCTCAGGGTGGAGTTAATGTCGGTATGAACCCAGACTGCAGACAATATTCTAAGATTATGTCAATTTCCTCTCTTTTCTTCTTCTTCTTCTTCTCTCTCTCTCTCTCTCTCTCTCTCTCTCTCTCTCTCTGCCACCAAAACCCATCAAAACTTCAATTAGACCAGGGTAATCAGGTTCCCTCTCCCTCTCCCTCTCCCCACTCCCCACCCCTCACTAGTCTTTTGAGATGCTGAGCTAATCGAAGTTGACTCTTGAGCTCAGTGACGGTAGGACAGAGTTGTGTTTGGTGTAGTGATCCTTGGGACCCGCCCGCTGTTAATGGCAC